ACGCCTTAACATAGGAAACTGCAGTATAAATACAGGTTCGATTCATTGAGATTTCTTCAATCTACAACTGTGCTACGTGTACATTTCGAGATCTACAGCTTTAAGGTTGGGAGAGAAATTTCATCGTATCATGTCTGTTTCACAAAATTCTTCTTTGCTGCTCAGTGTGGTACTTTTATTCATGATTCAATTGTTACCTTCAACCCGTGCGGCTCCGATAATTTGCAAAAACAACTGCAGAAAATCCGAGAAATGTGAGTAAGAATCTATGCTTTTATGATAACTCTTGGATTACATTAATTTCCTTGAATACGACGGCTGATAACATATTGGCAGGCGTTTTTCATGGTTGGCGTTAGGATTCAGAGATTCCTTGCGAAGAACAGTTCTACTTGCACTCTAGCGTCCTTCATGAGTTCAGAACTGTAAAAAAAAAAAAAATAAATAAATAAAAAAAAACTGAACTAACGATCCTTTACTCGTTGTATTATTTCTTTTACTTGATTTTCTATTATTTCTTCTCTTCCTCGCTTATTCCCTTTCCCTGATAGTCGTAATCGATGAGAAAAATTTTATTTTTTATCCCTTAACAGTTAAGAACTGTGCTGAGCTTTACAAGTCCGGCCAAACCATAAGTGGCATTTATACAATCGACCTGGGTGACGGTAAGGGTGCCTTTGATGTCTATTGTGATCAGACAACAGACGGTGGAGGATGGACAGTGATCCAGAAGAGGGTTGATGACACCGTAGATTTCAACCGGACTTGGAAAGACTATGAAAATGGATTTGGTGATTTCCTCATTCGTGACTTTTGGCTCGGACTGGACAAGATCCAACGCCTGACGCAAAACAAGACAGAAAACCAACTCCGCATGGATCTTGGAGTAACTGCCAACAAAACTGTCTACGCACAGTATGAATGGTTTGGTATTGAGAATGAGACAGATCATTACAGGCTGCGCATTGGCAGTTTTTCCTGTAAGTCAATTTACTCTTTCCTAATCAATGCACTTTTTCATAAACGATAGTTACTATCACCTCCCTTACACAGGGTAGGTCTCAAAACAAATGTCTCCCAAACAACTGTTTGCCTTGAGAATATCAGTGTGATTCCTTTCTGCTTATGCATATCACACTCATGAGAATGACCCTAAACAACTCATTTACTTGAGAGTTGCCTGTGATTTGGTGGCATAGAATCAACCAAGTGACAGGGAGACCTGGGATGTATAGGAAATTAACTAGTGGTCGGATTTGATTCAGTACCTTTGATGCTCTAGAATTCAAAATTGTTTTCTGAAATGTCGCCTCCACAAGAAGTAGAATCCCATAGTTTTATACACAAAAATGGGCCAGAGCTAGGCTTTCAACAATTACGAATAGTTTTTATCTATAAATGTAAAAAAAATTTAATTTTTACCTAATTTTTTTTTTAAGCTGCAACTCTTACAAGGGATTCTCTAGCCCATCATAATGGCATGTCATTTAGTACCTGGAACAGATCTTCAACTGATCATAATTGTACATCGTTTGGGGGAGGCTGGTGGTACCTGAAAGACAAATGTAGTATTTCCTCAAATCTCAATGGAATCTACCCTTCTCAAGGAAGAACGGTTGATAGGATTCATCGAATCCATTGGGGAGAATTACGTGAAAATGCTGAAAACCAGGCTCCCACAAGAACTGAAATGAAAATCAGAAGAAAGGATTTTCATCGTGGGTGAGGGGAGGGTAAGGATTTTGTATGCGTTAGGATAAAATTTTCCAGATTCCTCTACAAGGCTCTGTAACATTCTTTAAAAGTTTTTCCCTTATGGCAGTCAAAAACAAACATCCTCCAACCACCCAAGCGATAACTGACGTCTGGCTCTTAATCATTTGTGCTGATTTGTTTTTCTTAGCGTGAACTCCTATTGCATATTGAGAAGGGAAAGTAAAGTTTAAAATTTGGGATAGTTATCTAAGATTTACCAAGAAAGGTGCTTAATTTGAAAAGTATTTTGATGGAAACAAATAGACGCAAAATTTTGTTTCTGTAGAAAGTTTATAAACTACACCTAAACTACACTAAACACAAACCTGAACAAATTTCACTTATTTGTTATATGAATTTTCTCGACCATTTTAGTGTAAGCGAATAAATTGAAGCTCGAAATGGGGGTTCACCGTGTGTGGTAAATTCTCTGTTAGTCTACTGTTTTCCGTGTTGGAATAAAAGTGTCTGTTTGGATTTCCCGTTTCGCTTCCGAACAATCATTGTGTTCGTTTCTAAGATTACACTTCTCAGTCTTTTCAACTGTTACTATCATATAGATGCATAAATTTCTCATTATCGCTTAGCACGAGTTGTCATGTACCCGTTTATTAGACGTTTGGAGTTTCATGATTAAATTAAGATTTCAAAAAATCTCTAAATTAGTGACGGAAAGGAAATTTGCAGAATGAAGTGGTTAACTACTGTACAAAATAGAAAAAGCTTTTAAACGGCGGAGTGTCTATAAATTGCATGATGAAATTGATCAATGGATTCTTCACATTCACATTCGATAGTTGTTAGCTCACATTGATACAATGGAACAGGAAAAGATTAAAAGCACATTTTTCATTCCGTGCAGTTAACAAAGATCAGTAAATACTGTTAAGCAGACACCGGGTTGAGAAACCCAAAAACAAAAAGGTACGCCGTAGACCTCCTAGAATTTGAATTAAGTGTAGCTTGACGAGTCTTTAGCTTTGTAAAAAGGTCAACACGTCAACTTATGGGTCTTCTTTTAGCTTAGACAAGCAGAGGATAATTCTGCCCCTTTGAGTCCATTTGTTCTCGCAAAATTCATTGGAGTTTCCTTTCCTTGTGCATTCAAATTATTAACTGATTTCGGCAGGTTGGCTTTAATCAAAACAACTTATTGGTCTTCTTTTAACTAATAATCAGCCATGGAAGCGAATAAACTGGTAAAAGCCTTTCCGTGGAAATGTGGACAAAGGAACAGCTGGGGGTGTAAAAACTATCTGGCTTTGAGGAGAATAAAATTGCACTAGGCACAGTTCAATTATTGCGTAGAATGCCGCGAAACATCCTAGTACTTTTTACGTCTATTGGCAGTAAATTTAAATGATCCTCCGAGAAAATACAAAGCAATAAGGAAAATAGCTATAAATAGCCTACTTGCGCTTACTTTTCAGTTTTAAATCACAAACCAATTCCCGTAACTATTTTATTCAATAAACAAATTTATACTTATTAAAAGTTTTTTTGCAGTTCTGATAACCTCTATCGAATCTGCTTTGAAAAATGTTAATTTTAGATGCTCTTACGGTATGGAAGCTGATTTTCAGGTTGAAAAATGCGATGAAATATTCGCGAAACGTCTCAGTCTTCACATGGAAAAGTTACTCCTATGTTTCAAGAGGGCTTATGAACATTTTCGCTGCTATACAATGCCTAAAAGTGCTATCGAAACAGCGCTTTTCCGACGCAACCTCTGGCCACCCTGAATTTTAAGTCGTGAAGCACGGTTGACTGCTTTTCTAAAAATTCTGCGAGTATACCTACAATATTGCGCACGCCACTCCAATACACGATAGCAAGCGAAGACATTTTCAAATGAGCTTGAGACCAATATAAAAAGCTTACATACTAAGGTACTCACACTGGATTATGGCTTTTCCTTTGAATGGATGGATACAGTTCGCCTCTTCCACAATCAAAAAGAAACGAAAGAAATATACAAGCGCATTGGATTAGGCTAACAGTTGTCATGCTTGACTTTCCGAACACTCGCAGACGCAGGCTCCAACTAATACTGTTAGTAATAAGGGAGTGCTCTTACATCAAACCTGTCAATAACCTACCTTAATTCACATTCGATAGAAACAACGTATGCCTAATATTTCCGGTTTCTCTGTTAAAAAGTAGAAATGGAAATGCAAGGTTAACTACAATGATCTTTATTGCGGAAACTTTTTCAAAAAAGTGGTTTTTCGAAAAGGATCTCGAAAGGAGGAGATGAACTTTCTCGTATTTCCTATCATCAATTAACTTTCAAATATTGACTTTAGCACAATTTACCAGTATGCTTCTTGTCAAGAAAAAAGATGAAAACTTTAGAAAGCTCGCACATGGTCAGACTTCTCAAATAATTGAAACCCGTGATTTCATGGGACTTTCCCATGGAGCACTATCATTGTTTAAGGGGATTGAAGGTAACACGGTCACGATTTCTGTAATGAATAAGTCATTAAAGGAATAAACGGAATCAAAACTTTGAAAGACCACGTAGCATTTTCTGAATGCTTTTAAATTAGTTCATCGTTACAAACCCTTTGAGTTTTTTTTTTTTTTTTTTTTGCATCAAAAGTGAAGAGAGACGGCGTTGCCGTCGAGAAAAGCTTATTAAGGTTTTCCTTTTCTCATGGGAAAAACGTAGACTCCAGACAAGTCTTATTGGTGACAGGCTCACCATTGCCCAAAAGTTGAGCTGCTAAAGGTCCTCTTTCACGCTCGTAAATAACGCGTTCCTAACTACACAAGAAATCGGGTAATAATCAACGCATGACAAATTCATGGATATGCATTTACTTTATTTTTGATTTTTCAAAAGCGTGGCCATAAATAAACCAATAAACATTAGTGTGTATGTCGTGTATGTGTAGAAATTCTAAAATTTCCAAAAACCGCGTTTTGTTGTCTGATTTTCTACGTGGTTCCGTTGAAGGCGCAACTGATGACCTGGAGAAAAGAATTCATCATATCTTTTGGCCTATCCTCTCAGTTTCTTTTACAACATTGTTTTAACTGAATGGGCGCATACCTACTTTTTAATTTTTCAAAAGTGTCGCTATAAACAAACTAATTAGTCTTCTTACGTATGTTATGCTTGTGTAAAATTCTAACAAATTCCACAACCGCGTTTGCTTGCCTGATTTTCTGCGTGGGTCCGATGAAAGCGTAATTAATTACTTAGAGAAAAGAATCCATCATACTTTCTTGCTTATCCTTTCAGCTTTTTTCACACCGTTGCTGGAAAAATGGTAAGAAAAAACCATTTTGAGACATTTTTAAAAAAAACGCCGTAGGCTCATTCGGGAATTGTCTCTCAGTCTTGGTTATTCTCACAAGTCTGGCGTTGTTTCATTCAGAGCTATGTACTCTCAGACGAATCCATCTGCGCTGTCATTACTGATTTTGTACATCAATGACGCACTGTCACTTGACCACGAAGACCTATTTCCGGTGAAGCTTGTACATCAGGATAGTGGAAAGGACGGGCAGAAGGATGCACAAACCCGCCAGAAAACCGATCAAAATCTTACACCTCGATTCCCTTAGTAACACATCATTTCATTTTTCACGATCTACTTTTTCAGGATCATCTGAAAGAAGAAGACACTAAATTTGAGATCTCTTTATTTCCTCCAGAACAGATTTTCTATAAATTTTCATTAGTTAAAAAGCCTTGTTGAGTTTTACTCTTTATGCGTTTAAAAGAAAATGGAAACCTGGTCGCCAAGGCGTTTTCGAATCATCACAGCTACTTGGAAACAAGTTTGGCTTAAAGCTGGAATAAAAGTGATTTCAAAGAAACATAGGAACCACACTGGCAAAAGAGAAACCCTCTGGGAGGCTGAATCGCTCATTTAAGCATTATTTCTGAAGTACTCGTCGACCGTTTATTAAACAGACACGTACTTATGTCGGGGGAGGGGGTCCTGGGATATCTGCGGTAGCCAATACATAATAAAGAGGTGCACACTAATTTGTAACTTTGGCTGCCCCTCTCACCTTTAAAAATCTCAGGCCAGATCTGTCAACTGATCGGAGGGTTGGGGATGGGTGATGATGGGTGATGAATTGAAGGAAACTCCAAAATTGCAATTTCATCGAGTGGAAAGACAGGGAGGTTCCTGGGGCATTGCAAAGGATTATTAAACGAATAAGAGAGTGATCATTGCAGTTATGAACTCTACCTGAGCAGTAGTGAAAGTAAAGCTTGAGCCGGTAAAATAATTATACGTGTGCAGCGGATGTGTCTAAAACGAAGACCCAAAACCGTAGACCTAAGACCTAAGACCCACTGGTCTAAAACGAAGACCCTGCGGTCTAAAACGAAGACCCTGCGGTCTAAAACGAAGACCCTG